TATTTAGTTTTATTTTGGTTGATTGCTAGATGCATTTTGCTGGCTGCAGCCTCTAAAGATGTAAAAGCGTCTCTAAGTGACTCGGGAGTGTGTGCCACTAAAAAATTTGTGTAGTGTTCTGTTTAACCAACCACATGATCCTAGACTATGCACTAGTGTGACTGTGTATGCATCACTAATGCATACACAGTCACACTAGATTCTAGTGTGTGACAATTGGAAAGCTGCCTTTGATTGTTTGCTTATGTTTGGTGAAACTCATGTTTTGCATGCATATCTTTGCAGTGCCAAAATACAGCTTAAGGAAGAATGCTAAAAAATAAGTTAATCTCCTTCCTTTAAAAAAAAAAGGCACCCCCTTTTTTAGCAATTCGTAATGCAAATTACAAAGAAATCGAAAATTCATACAACTGTTGATGATGTCTGATGGGTCTAACCGAGCATAGCCAAACAAAGGCACCTTAACAATTATAAACAGCTAAACTCTTGTCACAGTCATATTCACTTCCTCCACCGAAGTTTCCAGAGTACAGCATTGAATTAGAAAAAAAATATATTTTCCCTTTTGACATATATGTTATTTCCATATTTCTTGCAGAACCTTTAGCAATGGTTTGCAGAACACAAAGGTTCCAGGAAACACCAATATATAGTTGGCCTCTTCCTGTAGCTGTCTGTGCAAAACAACTCTATTTGAAAGTGCCCAAAGTATTTTTGAAAAAATGAATGTTGTGACTTGCACTTGCCTGACAGTAACACCAGATCAAGTCCCCAAATGTTATCATGATCACGAGCATAGAGTTGTGGTCCTTGGGCATATTATAGGGGACAGTAGAACTTTTACCAGTTTTAAAGGAGAATCTCCCTGGCGACAAGTCTAAGGATCTTTATTCTTCTTTCCTTACTACCAAACCACACAAGAGGACTTTTGACTCAAATTTTAAGCCTCCCATGCTGCAAAGAGTATGCAGTTATGTATCTATGTCTATCCCGTGCAGTTGCATATCTGCCTTCTCCGGGATTCAAACCCAGGCTCATTGATGCAGGAACCAGCAGTGTTACCGGACTATACCGGATTGTTATTTTATGATACATTTTTAGCTCATGCTGTATAAACAAAAATAACATTTCATCATTATTTCAAGATGAAGTAATATCTTCTATGTGTATTTCAGTTTATGATGTTGCTTTCCTTTAAATTATTAATCAGTATGTTAATCAGTACTGTTAATGTAAATCAATAGCCATTTTGGAGTAGTAATCAGTAGCTGTACTGTAATACCCACATAAGACTGAAATCTTGTGGAACTATGTATGGTCATCTTAGAGAAGATTCACTTTATATTTTATTTTTTCTAAACCATTTGAGTATCATTCAAGGTTGATTCTAATTATGTCAGAACGAGAGATGTATAATTGTGTTTTTATTTTTATCGTGCATCATTAAATTGTTATTAAGTTGTTAATAACTTGGCTAGCTATGACTCTTTGTTTTGTAGATTATTTATTGTGATATTCAGTAAAAAATTGATTATGACAACTAAGGTAAACTTTTAAGATTTTCTTATAGTAGTAAACTTGTTTTTTAAAAACATGATATTTTTGTATCTAGTACATTGGGTTTTAAAAAAATATGAACAGGCTTATTCACTGTATAACGCACATTTTTTTCATTATGAAGAAACCTGAAAGGTATACGTAATGCTTTTATTTTTTGAAGTCGTAAATTTGAAGATTTTTTGCATGCTTTCGAACAATGGTATACTGAATGACAAGCGATAAGGGCAACAGTATGTGTGTCGGGAAAATGCTTCAGGAAGTAAATAATTGTGCAAAGAGGGTGTGTTATATTCAGTGCAGTTGTGAACAAGAATGTTATTCTAGGGTTTTAGGAAAAGGGAAAAATAATTTGGGATATGAAAGTACTTTCAACCTGAATGAATTTGCAGAATTAGGTGTTAGATGTTTGCTCTTTCTGTAGTCACCTGAAGCCGTGATTTTGAAGTGAACATCAAAGGCCTTAGTAAATCGCATTTGCTTTAGTTCAAATACAGTTGATCTGATGTTCTTTTTAGTAATGTGCTTCCTGCCAAACAAAACATAGTGCTGGTTTCAAATACAAAGTCATTTTGACTCCATTCAATTTGCTAATGGAAATTTTATGTGCCTATTAAGTTGACACAGTAACACACAAAATTTTAGTAACAGTTATATATACTAATCCCAATAAACCTAAAACATTCATTGCGTTGTGTAATCGGATTAACCCTTAATTCAATTTTTAGTGACCTGGTGAAATGACATAAGTAAATAAAAAAAAAATATACACTTAAATAGTTCAATGAAAACAAATTGTTTATTGGAAAAGAATATCCATCAATTTAAAGTATCATAAGATAGAATCAATAAAAAAAATAGATATTATAGCTATTAAAGATATTCCCGGGATATATCAAAAAAAAAAATATTCAACATAAGATAATCTCTAATTTGTAAAAATTCACCCTTAATACAAATAGGTTTACTTTTTTTATATATATAGACTTATTTCTCAATATTGCACATAAAAATTTAATGCCATTTTTAATTCTATTAAGTGTAACATATTTCTAGACTTTTGCTTCACAGGTTTTTCTATAGAAGAATTTTCAAAATTTTTTCAGATATAATTGAATTTACTCCCTTATTGCACACACATAAAATCAGTTTTCCAAAAGGAGAGCAACCTTAACAAAAATTTCCAGGAGGAATTATATTCCACAGAATTTATACTAGAATAATGACTTAATGTACAGACTATTAGCACTAATTTAGGTTTCAGAGAACACTCCTTTACTGCAGAACTACAAGATATAACTTTTTCACATTCTGAACCTTAACTATTAACTTTAGCTAAATAATTCAGTTTACTTTTACGTTTCTTCAAATAATAATAATAGTGACAATAAAACAATGTAATTTCTTTAAGAATGAGCTTTTAGAACTTTGAAATATTTTTTTTTCAGATAACTAATAATAAAGATAATGATAACGAACCAAATTAATTTTACTTCTCTTTTTTTCTTAGGAAAATTTCTGGGATATTATTAACATTAATAATTCCAACCAAAAAAAATTCACTTTATGCATAACTCATTTTTATCTAATTTAATTGGAAGAGCAACTTTTTTTTTTTTTTTTTTTCTTTTAACAATTAACATCACCCTCACCTATAACAACTCCGCGAGATCTTGCAGACCTTAAGATTAAGAAATATCTGAATTTAATGAAATAACAAGAAAAATTTAATATCACCTGACTGAGGCTCCAAGACCGAGGTCTCCTGGCAAAAACGTGTAACAGCTAATTCAGGCCAGTGGATATAGTTGACTGTCCATCAGGATTCAGAACGAAAGAGAGTAGCATTCATCTGGTGTTAACACGAATTTTGGCTTCCATTAAGGTGAACTGGATCATGCGCATGCTGTAGGGCTATTATTTCCTTTCCAAGATGTCATTTTCCTTTTTTTTTTTTTTTTTTTTTTTTTTTTTTTTTTTTTTGTTTTTTTTTTTTTTTTTTTTTTTTTTTCATTTGACTAAATTGTACTTTTATTGTGTTTTTTTTTTTTGATTTGACTAAATGTACTTTTTATTGTAGACCTGATTTTATGAGAATCGATGCATTAATTTGTCTCGGGCCCAAAGGCTCCGAGAAAAGAGAGGAACTCTCATCATTTAGAACTGTGTAAAACCAGAAGCACCGCAACTCCAAGAGCTGATGTCAGGGGCGAGCAAAGAGCAAAGTGTGTGCTTCCCGCAAAAACAACCCCCTTTAGACAAGACGGGGCAGCCAGCTTGGCTAAACCCCCGCCCGAAAAAGTGAAAAAATCAGTTACCAAAAAACTCCCGCCTTAAGCAATGCAAAATTTTACCAAACCCAACCAGTTTGAAATTTTGACGGATCTCCCAACTTGCCAGAAATTGCGCCGAGAAGAGGCCACGCCTTAACACCTGCCCTTGTAAAACGTGGCAACCCTGACAGGAAGTGGCTTTCTAAGTCCAAAGAACGCACATTTTTTTGTTGAAAGTGAACTTTCGTAACTCTTCTTCCCCCTTTCTTGTTAGAAGAAAAACTTAGGAAGTTTTAATAATTAAAAGGCTATAACTAAAAATTGATTAAGGCTAGGATTAAGAAAGTAGTCTCAAATTAAGGAGCTAATTTTTCTGCAACTATTGATATTAAATACTAAGAGTTTAACTTAATTTTTATCATGAAAAAACTGAGTTTATTGCGTAAAAATTCACCTATATCCATTGTCTGAGTGTGCAAGTTTGAAGACGCAGTTTGCGTAAAACCAAATAACCCAAATTGATTGCAATAAATAATAGTAGCCAAATAAATTAATATATCCAAACTTGTTGTGTAGCTAAAATTTTGAATATTTACAAATTAAAATTTTGATTTCTGTGACTCATTTAATTACATGAAATTTGCTACACAACAGAAATGGTGCTGCACCAAGGATGTTTGGTTTTGGTGAAAGCTTCGTATACGAGTGGGGAAAAAATTAAATTATAGTAATTAATATGCCAAAGAATGAATATTTGGTGCAGAAATGGCCTATCCTAGAAGAAAATGTTTCTAACTGGGTCATAGAAAATCATCAGAATCGCCAGTAACAGAGTTTAGGTAGATGTAGAAATCAAATTTTTGTATGCTCATCTTTTCCTTATTTTTAGATCTGAATTTTTTATATCCGGCATATAAGGCACACCCATAAATTGCATTCTCATTTTTGTATTCAAAGTGCACATTATACGCTGGAATATATAGTAATTGCTGATTGCTTATTCCATAAATTTTGTTTGTTTTTTCTACAATTCTTCTTTGTAACAATTTTTTTTTCTACAATTCTTCTGTGTAACGTTAACAACATCATTCTGCTCATCTTCTTATATTTAAAATAAACCTGTTTCTCTTTCTTCCAAATGTGCTGTTGTAATTTTTCTTTTCTTTTTAGGTACTCAGCTAGTATAGTTGAATTGAATGTTCTAGCAATAAATTGCTTCGTGAAGGACTTTAAAGATCCTAACCCCTATGTGCGAAGATTGGTTATTAAGACTGTGTGTCGTATACCCTGTTTAAAAGACCTCGCCTTGCAGATCTTACCTCAAGCACTGTGTGATGATAGTTCCTATGTGCGTAGTACTGCAGCTACTTCTTCTGTTCTAGTTATTGAAAAACAAAATTTAAATGCCAGTCAAGACATTATTGATAAATTGTATGAGATGATTAAAGATCCTGAACCTCAAGTGATTTGTAGTAGCCTTTATGCTTTAGAAGAAATATTACAATCAGAAGGTGGAGTTATAATTAATCGTAGAATATTTTTATATTTAGTTAGCAGAATTTCAGATTTTCAAGACTGGAATTTTGCTGTAGTTTGCATAGTTCTGAAGAAGCATATTCCAGAAAGTGAAGAGGAATTACTTTATTTTTTAAATGCTGTTGATGAGAGGTTACTCCATTCAAATCCTGCGATTTTTGTAACAGCAGCTGATATTGCTTTGTATTATGCAAATCATTTAGAGAAAAATTTTTCAGTTGACATTTTAAAACAGATTTCTCCACAATTAAAGTTGTTACTGTCGTCTTCAAATGCAGAATTACTTAGTGCAATTTTAGATATTATAGAATCATATCTGCCTAATCACAGAGAAATATTTTCATCGTTTTATAATCTTTTTTTCTGTTATTTTCATGATTCAGTTACAGTTAAAGTTAAAAAACTCTGCATTCTAGTTCATTTGGTAAATAAATCTAATATTTCAGCAATAGCTGAAGAACTGTTATTATACTGCAGTGATTGTAACAAAGAAATATCCTCTCAAGCCGTGCACAGTTTTGTCTTCACTTTAAAAAAGCATTCTGTTGGAAATCCTATGAAAAAATTTATTTCTCTAATTGATATAGAGTTTAATACTTTAAATGAAGAAATTTTAAAAGCTGTATGTTCATTGGATTTCCATGAGTTGATTGATCTTAAAAATGAAGTAATGCATGTTGTATCAGAATGTTCTCTTAATATTGTTAGTTTCGATGCAAAATTGTCTTTGTTAAAGCTTCTGGTTAGGTATGGAAATGAAATTACCAGATCACCATATATTATTGAACAGTTTGTTAATGATCCAGTTAATCTTGAAGATGAAAATATCATGACTCTTCTGTTAACAGCTTCGGTCAAACTTTTCCTTCACCATCCACAGAAAATGCAACTTCTCTTAGGATATATACTGCAGCATGCAAAGACATCTAATAATTTATCATTGAAGAAACTTGGATCCATATATCACTATTTTTTGAATAATTGCAGCATTGCTCAAAAGATAATAGGCTCTTAATTGGCTGTGTAACCCTCTGACGGGCAGTGGGATGTCAGGCATCCCTTCTCTTTTTATCAGTTATAATCTCTAGGATGAAAGCTGTAAAATTCCGTTTAAAACATGTACAATTACACCTTTTAGTTTTCTAAATATATAACAGATGGCAGCACTAGTATTCATTCATAGAAATAATGTAGAAAAAATTCTTTGCAGGTCTAATTTTGAAGCAGGGTTTTTTTTTTTTTTTTTTTTTTTTTTTTTTTTTTTTTTTTTTAATTATTATTATTTTTATTACTTAATTTCTTATGCAATTTAAATCGTCTGAACAATAGCTTTTAGTGTTAGAATGAATATTTTTATCTGAAACTTTCCTTTTCTAATAAAAATTATTTGAATTCATATATATTAATTAAAAACGGTTGAAATTAAAAGGTAGGACAAATTTGTCCCACTGCACATGTAGGATATGCTGCTACTAGGTGGCAGCACTGTTCAATTTTTTTTTATTTAAGTATGTTCGTTTCATATATAGATAATGCAAATTATACTTTTTAATAAATTGCAGTAATGTTAAAACTTGAAAAATATTTAGTTTTTTCCCGAAAGAAATGCAAATATATCCTTCTTACACGAAATGTCATTGAATACTGAATGGATATGTGAGTGTGAGTCACCATAGAAAAATATCCTAAGCGGAGGGAAAGAGATGAAATGTAAATAAACATGATGGCCTTCTTAACATTCTCCTTTTCAAACCTGTAGCAAATCGAAAATCTTCTCTGTTTCAAACCTGTTACGAAATCATTAAAAAATATCTAAAATGTCTCACAGGGAGCTATTTTTTTAAAAATATGTAATTTTTTTAAATATTTTTTTATTTTCTAAATTTGATCAATGTTTTCTAGATAATTATTCAAAAACCTTTTCATATATATCTTGCATTTTCATTTGGTTTCTAAAATTAGCACTTTATATAAGCATGTTAGGGGAATTAATACTCAGGCAAAGATGCCATTTTGTTGCTCCAGATGCACGGTGGGAGAACTGGTATCCCACCACTTCATGAATTACCGTAAAGATTAACTTTTTTCCCATGGAGTAACATTGTATTCAAGGCTAATTATCTATATGTAAAGTTATTTCTTTCAAAAAAAAATTTTTTTAATACCTCCCAAATTTCAAAGGGTTAAATGCTAGTGTAGAAAATTGGAAGTATTAAAATTTTTTACTTCATTATTTTCAAATCATATTTGGGGTATAAAAGGTTAGATTAGGTTATATGAATATGAAATAGCACATAAGGGCTATTTGCCAGTCTTAAGTTAGGGTTATCTTCCTAAGGGGAGGGGTGCCTTCCTGGAGGGCTTGAGGGAAACTGGCTCGTATCCATGGGGAAAACCATGAATGCTCAGATTTGAACCCTGGTTCAATTCTTAGTATTCAGTGGTCTTAACTACTAGGCCACTTAACTACTAGTGGTAGGACATTTGTTCTACAGAAGCAGTTTTCAAATGTATTTTATATTTTTTCACCAAATTTGTTCAAATAAAAGTTATTTTTCTTATTTTTCATTTGCTACTTATTTGTATATATTTTCAACATATTTTTATTGTGATAATAATGTATAAAATGTGACAGTCATCTGAACATAAAAAGAGTGATGAAGGACATACTTTAAACTCAAAATTAAACTGTTAAAATTATCAAAATCTGCAGATAAGTGGACATGTTATGAAAATGAGTAAAATCGAGTGATAAAATTAAGTTGCAAGCTACCAGATGCAGATAGAAATGTTCTCTTACCATCTGTAATCTAGCACAGAAGCATCAAAATTATGTTTGAAACTAGTAAGAAAATATCGGGTTTTATCGAAAGTTCCCCAGTACCGCAAATTTCATTTATGCAAACAGTTCGTGTTGGCATATTTAATTATATGAAAAATTATTTATTTAATTATTGAAAGAAATAGGACTTCCTTTAAAACAGTATGTAGTGAAATTTGTAAAAAAAAATACCGTTATCATTAACTACAAGGTATCTGAAATAGAATTATCATGCTACTAGATTAGAATCATAATTTACTTCTAGTTCTGCTGCAAAAAGTCAGCTACAGACTGTCACTAAATCATATGTACAGCTTTACGTACTAATGATGCATCATATTACACTTTGTAGGCTTGGTGCCAAAAGTTCAAAAACAAGGACTATGACATTCAAGAAGCAGAGTCCTGTGTCTGCCTTGCTGAGGCCCGCATGCCAGAACGGGAAGAAGATCAGTATGCAACCACTCAAGAGCTTTCTAAGGAGTTAGACGTTAGTGCCATGTCCATTAGTCACACTATGCATCGCATAAACTTGACATACAAGTTCAATTGATGTGTGCCGCATGAGCTGACTCAAGCAGATGAGGATAGACGTGCTCAAATATCAACACAAGGGCAAAATTCTAGACCAGATTGTCAGTTTTAATGAAAAGAGGATTTACTTCAACAACACTGGCTGAAAAGGAGGTTGATCTGTGCCCGGTGAGCCTGTTGGCAGCGTCGCAAAGCCCAATTTTACTAACAAAAGATCATGCATTGTATCTGCTGGGATTGCAGTGGTATTATCCACATAAAGTATTTGGAAGAAAGTAAAACCCTCGACAGTAAGGTGTACAGCGAGATTTTAGTCCATCAGGGGAAACGTTCGACTGAGTTCCGGCACAAAAAGGTAATGTTCAATTAAGATAAGGCAAGACCACATGTGTCTGCATTCACTAGTTGGATTCTGTTTGGACTCTAATGGGATCTTTTGCCACACCCATCATATAGCTCCGATATAGCTCCTTTGGACTTCTACCTTTTTTTCACACCCAGAGCTACATCTTGCTGGTGCTATCTCTGCACAGGATGTCCAAAATGAGGTTGATCTGTTTTTGAACTCGCTGCCACAAAGTTTTTGGGCCGATGGCCTTGAAAGACTGTCAAAACGTTGGCAGAAAATCATAGATTTGGGTGGTGATTACTAGCCGCTCTAAAGGTACTGTTGTCAGGGTTTTTTCCCCCTTTTATTAAGAACGTTTTTTGGCGGAAAACTTTCGTTACAACTAGATATTAGCGCCATAATGTGTACATTTGCAAACGTGATTTTCAACGATGATGATTTATCTAAAAACCAGTTAGAATATTCTTTTATATGATTATTCAGTAACAAAATACTAGTGTGATTAATGAAAACTAATCCGCTTTTTGCGTTTCTCTTAGTTGAATAACGAATTATTTTAATTTTGGTATCTTTTCTGAACTTCTTATTTCCCCTAGGATGCAAATTAAGTGAAGAGACTATTTAAACAGGCAAACGAGAAGGTTAGAGCGTGATTTCGCTAGTGTAGCGCGCGTTTGCTAGTTTTTCCCTCCAGCTGCAGGGTCGGATTTAGACTTGATAAGGCCCTAAGCTATTTGAGATATAGGAGCCCTTTATAAGTCTGTTATACTATATTTATGCTATATTTTAATTTATGGGGGTCCCTAAGCTATAGCTTGTGCAGCTTATACGTAAATCTTGCACTGCCCAGCTGTTATTCTTAGTTGCAACTACGCATTCTGGCCGTTTATTAAATCTATCCCCAGTTTAGGTTGTTGACTCAGCCTGTTAGCTTTAAGTGAATTGTGTAGTCTAGCACTACTATTTACCATTTTGAATTTATTGTTAAATTATCCTTAGGTTCCTCACCACAAATAGTCGGTGTTATTGTGAGCACGAAGTACATGCCTTGTTGTTAGAATTTGAGAATAAAAGGGCTATTTGCACCCTTCTTATATGCTGTTACTCTTCACGCCTGTGCGATAAATCTCCAGGCTTCCTGCTGAGATATTGACGCTTGCATGATAATGAAAAGAGTTCGATCTTACAAGTTTAAAATTTAGAAGAATTTGTTAAATGCTAACGTAACTTCATCAAAGTTTAAGTATTGCGTGCGTATGGTTCGTAATAGATTGAATGCACAGCGGTTTCATGATAGAGTAATAAAATTTCTTTTATCAATTATTTCAAAGTTCTGCAATTTTCCGGAGAAATTTCCGGAGTACAGGTGTCCACAGTATCACAGAGTACAATCGGTAGTTACATGCAAACTACTAAGAACTTTAAACACAACGGAATGCAAAGTGCATCTGATGAGAAAGCTAACCCGGAAATACCCCCGATCTCGCGCTGATCTAACTACTCGCAACAACAATAACTGCTTATTAACTGAGAATACGTTGATACAGAGGTAGTTATACGGGGGTTCTACTGCATTCGCAGTACTTCCCTGTAAACCTGAAGGAAATCCACAATGGACATGGTGTTGAAAGGTTACTGAGTGAATCCCATGGAGGGAGAGGGAGGGAAAAGAAGAAAAATATCTCAAGTAAGTCCCTTGAAAACTGGCGAGGGAGTAGAAAATAAAGTCCAGAAGCCAGCCGAGGTGGTGATCTTTCTCGTTTTTGCGTGTTGCCATCTATGGGTGATTCCGTAAGTAGGCGCAGAATTGAAATTTAGGGTTAGCTGCTGGTTTCTGTGGCGCCATCTATCGGTCTGTTGCGAAGCTGGCCAAGAAAGGAGATTTAGGCAAAGCAAGGTGTAAGTTCGGATCTTCTGCAGTATGGGCTTCATTTTATCCAAAACACGAGGAAAGGTAATTAGGAGTTTAATTTCAACATATTGATGGTGTGCGTAGTAAAAGGCTATTGTAATAGTCATCTTCTATGATTTCGTAATTTAAAATATTTGAAAAGTCCGCTATGCGAATTTGATTAGCTTTTCTGTAGAAATTTTCATTGAGCTCGTTGATGTAGGGTTTCATGTATTCAATTTTTAAATCGCGGTGCAAGTTTTTATTTCTGATGTAATACGGTGCTCCGGTGATAGTCCTGAGGAACTTGTTTTGGATAACTTGTAGCTTTTTAATGTCTTTCGGTTTGGCATTTGCCCAGACTGGACATGCATACGTAAAAATGGGTCTTATGATCGCCGTGTAAATTCTCTTCTTCCTATTTAGGCTAAAACCTGAGGATTCAGTTTAGGAGGTGAAAAAGTTTGCACGTTATTCCGAAGATTTTTCCCCTGGTAATGTTTATGTGTTGACAAGGTGAAAGTTCGATTAAAGGTGATGCCGAGATATTTAGCATGGGTTACGAGTGGGATTCGTTTTCCAAATAAAGTCACTGTAGCGGAGATGTTATCCAGTTTCTGGTAGCGCCGGATGAGTAAGATTTGGGATTTGTCTGCATTTATGTCCACTCTCCATTTTTTGCACCATTCTTCCACTTGCTGCATTTTATTTTGTAGTGGTGTGATACAGGCTTCCTAGATTTTTGTGTAATCTAGGCTTCCTAGATTTTTGTGTAAGAGCGGTGTCATCCGCGTAGCAGGCCAGTTGAAAGTTGTAATCTTCTCGGAAGTTTGGAAAATCATGAACATAAATTATATAGATTATAGGTCCTAAAATGCTACCCTGGGCGACCTCTCTTAGGATAGGATATGGATTAGTATAATAATCACCTTGTCTAACTGAGAAGGTACGATTTTCGAGGAATGACTTCAGGATGAGGACGAGTTCTCTCAGGATATGCAGTTGTATGAGCTTATAGATGAGGCACGGAGTATAATGAAGGAGGTGAAACTGCCTAGTAGAGAACGGTCCTAAAATGTCGCGTTCACTAGATGGCGCTGTTGTTCCATCTTAGCAGTTCCAAATGTAAACATTTATTGAGTAGCCAGGCGGCAAAGCTTACTACCGAATGAAAAAATGTTTATGTTTTTAATGTGATGGATTGCGTTATTATCAACGTTATAATATTCTGCTCACTAATGATTGTATTTTATTCCTCAAATTATAAAATTAATTTACAGCTTTCATGCTGTAAGGCTTGTAGTACTTTTTATGAATGATTAATTTGAAGATATTTTTCAGTCCCTCCCCCTTAGAAAAATAATCATATTACTAGTAATAATACTTGCTGTATATATGTTAAATTTAATTAGAATAGTTTCTTCGCGTCTCTCATTTTGTAAAATGCTTAGATACACAGCTTGATATAAACTGTGGCGAAATTTTAATGAAGCTTATAGAATTTTTTGCTTCAGTCAGTAAATTTTCTTTACTATCATAATAAGTTATTCTTTTTTATGAATCAGATGTCAGTTTTGATTTTGATGTTTTTTCTCTTAAAAATTTCCATATCTTTGTTATTTGAGAAGTATGTTTCTAATTGATTTCAAAAGATTTTAAAATAGAATTCGGATTTGAATTCAGTTAAGTATTCTGGACACTGGTTATGCTGAACTATATTATTCATAATTAAATATAAAGAGTAAAAACTATTGAAACTAATTCAAGCTATCTTTTATTTTGTCCGGCTTAAGGTAACTAAATGCAGTATTTAATAAAATGCCAATAAATGTAGTATTTTAACTAAAAATATAATGCAGATCATTTTTATTTTTATAGTACATGTCCTCTTTTCTTTCCAAAGGAGGAAAATTCTATCCCATTCAATAGCCTAAAAGATGAATTTCTTATGTTCAGAAAAATTTTATCA